TAATCTATATGTTTTAATGTATTTGCCTATAAATATGTTATATAGTACTTTATTGGATTTTGTCCGGACAGTAACGTTACTATTTTTTAACCCTTGTAATAAATGTTCTAATTACATCTTAATTTTTACTATTTAGCGTTTTGAATTATTATTTAAAACATGTATATAAATAACAAAGAATACAGTAAAAAATAGCACATAATATAATAATAAAAGTAAAGAATAACACAATTTTGGAAACAAGCGAAAGAAGCCAAAATTGCACTTCAGTTTAATATCTATTTGACAATAAATATCTAAATATTAATAAAAAACATAAGAGAAATATTAAATCAATTTGAAAATAAAAAAAATAAAAAACTAATGAAATAATAAAATCTTTCAATATACATATATCAACCTGATAAATACATATTGAGATTGTTTTCTTATAGAAACGATTATCAATTCATTGTAAAAACAGTGTATAATAAAATTCTGAGCAAATTGCCACTGAATCTTAAAAAATTAAAAAATAAATGTTAAAGAAAAGAAGTTTAGATTTAGATCAACAAAAAAAAGTACTTACTTATATTAATGTAACAAAAAATCTTGCTGCTTTAATAGAGTTACATAATTTAGAAAAGTTACAAGATAAAAAGTATTGGTCCAAAAGTTAAGATAAGATGAATCGAGCTATATTCACGTCTTCCAGATTAATGACAGCCATCCTGAACATTATATGAATTATTTTAGAATGGACAGAGAAACTACCACTCATATTAGTAAAGAGACTAAATCTAGTATATAAGTCTTTAGAAATGTCTCACTCTACGTCAGGCGGGATTCACACAATACGCGTTGCGAAACTTCACGTTCGGTTTTGGAGGAACGTAGAAGTGTCACTTCAGATGTAGTGAAAAACTATACATGAAGGACCTGCCTAAGTCTTGCACTGGTAGCTCTTGGTCTTTCAGATTTTGTGATATTCCTGGTCTTGGTCTTTCTTTTTACCAAGATCTACTGGAATAGCAAGGTCAGTGCCTAGAAGCTGAACGAATTAGGCAAAGAAAATAAAGTCCTCCTACTCTTGGAGCCAGCCCACCAAGGGATAGAAGGTAATTAAAAAGCAAACGATCTAGCTAGAAAAGGAACGAAGATTACACCAACTGGACCAGAACCGTTCTGCTTCCCAAGTAGAAACCAACTTAAAGCAGAACTCAAGAACCTGGAAGATACCATCCGTAACCTGCGAATGGGAATCTTCCAAAGGTCTAACATACTCGAATAAATTTCTCAGAACTTACGACCGAGAAAAATCTTCCTGATTTAAGTAGGATCAATCTTCCAATTTGCCACATTCTTTTTTTAATAGGACACCGCCTGCGCCTCCTCAATGAATAGTTCAGTATATTGAAGCTAAGAAAAAAGAGATGGGGAGAACACCTCATTACTGAGTGTGCCGAGACATCTTTCTTTTATTTAACAAAATCTTTATATTTGTGGTAGTGCATGGTTATTTAATGGTATATAACCCAGTTCCTACGTAGGTTGCCTTTTAAGTTTTTCAATTGCTTGTTTCTTCGGTTGTACTGGACACGTCGCAACCATTCCATTAGAGGATCGAAGAACTGTTAATGCCGAATGGTATACAACAATAATTTGTTTGCCAACGGTCTTCGATAAAATAAGGAAAAAGAACAATAAACGTCGCATCATTCTTTATCATGCCAATGCCAGCTCCCATAAAGCACGGCAAACAACTGAATATTTGAAGGAGAACAACATCGAATTAATGTCTCATTGCCCGTATTCACCCGATTTATCGCCCAATGACTTTTTCCTTGTTCCCCACTGCCAAACAAAAGATGCGCGGGTAGTGGTTTTCATCACCTCAAGAAGCCGCTGGAGGCTTTCAAAACCATGTTTCTACGATATTCAGAGTGGAAAAAATGTTTCCCGAATTGGTTTGAGCGTATGCAAAAATGTATAGACCTTAAGGGCAAATAATTCGAAAAGCAATGAAACGCTTTGTCTCGAACTTTTTCGTTTCAAGTTTACTTTTGGTAAAAACTTAAAGGCAACTATAAAAAAATAATAAAGGCAAAAAAAGCCTTAAAGGCAATATAAGTGATTTCATTTCTCTGATCTCCAATTTTCCAGTAATTACTTTGAATGTGGTTGACAATGATTCAGTATTAAAACTAAAAGAGTTTCGGACTTTCATTGTCTTTATTTATTTTGTTTACACAACGTTTCGGTGAGATCTGTCATTGACCGTTATCAAGTGTGAACTAAACTACATCCTAAAACTACTGAGCTTATATACTAGAACCGAGCATTCACTCGTGAATTTGTTGGGTGCAGTCAAGCATGAGGTTTTCCATTAAGAACACCTGCACTGGAGCGTTTTATGAGTGATTGCCATATTGTTGAAATTTCCATACTTGGATTGCTAAAGATTTTATTATCGTTAGAAATGAATACGGCCTCTTTAAATTTGCGCTTTTTCCAATGGGGTTCTTTGTGGACAACCCGGGCTTCCGACCATTTTATGTTGTGGTGCTTGGACCACACATGATCTGCAATGCCCCACTTCATTGTTGCACCTCTTTGCGTATGTTTTTCATATTCGTCAAGCCGTACATATAGAGGGCGTTTTTTCTCCCCAATATACGACTCACCGCACTCGCAAGGTAGGTAGATGTACTCTTTCTCTTGGTTTGATGTTTCAGGGTTTGTTTTTATTAGGATATTTCTTAATTTTATATTGCTTAGCTATTCGCCTGATCTTCTCCGATGTTCCTTTCACATATGGAATCGTCAAGTGAGAGAGAGCATCCTCCTCAGGCTGGCGTACCAATGAGTTTCCAGTAATTTTTTTTCGTCTTGTTCTATAAATCTTTGATAAACACCTATATAATATAATCAAGAACCTTTCTACCCGAAGGTGTAAGGTATACGAAATTAAATAAATTCACTAAATTGCTACACTATACACAAATTGTTTCCATTTATTTTTATCTCTTGCTAAACTTTTGGCTTCTCTTAATGTTAGTCCTCTATCCTGCACTATCTTCTCTATTGTGTTATTTCATGTTTTAGTTGGTCTTCCTCTTGGTCTCTTTCCCTGCATTTTAGCTTCCCACACGCATATTACTGGTATATCGTTATTCATTCTAATCAAACCCATACCACCTAAGCTGACATTGCTCAATTTTATTCAGAATCTACTTTTAGTCCATCTTTCCTTGTTACCCCAAGTACTCTTCGTAGATATAACATCTCCATTCTTTGGATCTTACTCTTCAATATTTTAGTTAATACCCAACTTTCACAGCCAAATGTCAACATCAGTATGAACACTGTCTTGTATACACTCATCTTCACTGCTCTCGAGATTTCTTTTTTATTTAAGAAACTTAAAACTTTAAACTTAAAACTTTTTATTTAAGTTCTGAATGGCTTGATACAAGCGGGACGTGTTACCAATTCTTTCAATGATTTCCGTCTCTTGTATCTTTGATTTATCTATATATATATATATATATATATATATATATATATATATATATATATATATATATATATATATATATATATATATATATATATATATATATATATATATATATATATATATATATATATATATATATATATATATATATATATATATATATATATATATATATATATCCGGTTTTATAGCGTTCTACGCCTTCCGGTTCCCAGTCTCCGTTGCCTTCGATCTTCCCAATCTCCTGGAAGTAAATTTCTTTCGGACATGGCTCGGTTAATGCCCTCAATCCAGATAACTTTAGGTCTTTCTTTCTTTCTTCTTTCCGCTGGTGTCCGTTTTAGGATTTGTTTTGGTAGACGTTCGTCAGCCATTCTCTCTACATGTCCATACCATATTAGTTGGCGTTATTCGATTTCATCGAGGATAGTTTTCTTTACGCCCATAATCTCTCTAATTCTCTCGTTGGTTATTCGTTCTGTTCTTGACTTTCCGGCAGATCTTCACCAAAAATCCATTTCAAGAGCCAGTAGTTTACGCTCTAAAGTTTTATTTATTTGCCACGTTTCACATCCATACAATACAACACTTTTAAATATCGCATTGTATAAAAGGTGTTTTCTTTCTATAGAGATGTTTGTTGACCATAATAGTGAATTTAGGCATCCCATAACTCTTTTCCCTTTAATTATTCGCTCCAATATTTCTTCTTCAGTTCGTCCTCTTTGGCTAATCTTTGTTCCGAGGTAGGTATAATCTGATCAATATTGTACTATGCAACTGTCGTCCACGTCCAAATCTGTTCCCTCTCCACCGATACACATATACTTAGTTTTACTGCAGTTAACAGTTAATCCCCACTCTGCGTATTCTTTAAAAAGTTTTCTCGCCATGAATTCAAGGACTTCCCTATCTTGGGCCATTGTCATTTGGTCATCTGCAAAATGAAGAGCATATAAGTAGGTGTCATTTTTTAATTCTATGCCCATTCCACTGCAGGATCTTCTCCATTTCTTCAAGGCTTCATTGAGATAGATTTTGAAGAGAGTTGGCGATAGACAACATCCCTGACGAAGGCTTTTGGTCACATAAAAGGTTTCTGATATGTTACTGCCGATCTTTATTCTGGAAAATGCTTGGTGGTATAGCTGTTTGATGGCTTTGATCGCTGTATTGTTAATTTGAGTGTTCTCCAGCACTTGCTACAGTTTTTGGATTGGCACTGTATCATATGCTTTTGAAGGGTCGACAAAAAGCAGATGAGCCTCTCTATTCTTTGGCACCTTCTTTTGATTAAGTTGGTTTAGACTAAATATATGATCTATGCACGATCGACCAGCTGTAAACCTCGCTTGCTCTTCAATTTCTTTGATTCTTCTTGATCTTTGATATAACATGCTAAATTTACTCGACCTAGGCCCTGGTTTCCGAATATATTCTCTATTCGTCAATTGAAAATGACCGAGTCCGACCCTGTCCTTCGCGCTAATAGAAAATTATTGTATCAAGTTTGTCGAAGAGCGTATTTAAACAACAATAGCGCGGTGAGTGCCGGCCAGAATTGATCTCTCTCTCTCCGCAACGACTTGGAAGTTTTAGTTTGCATGCCGTACGTTCGTCGTCGTCTAGAACTTGGAGAAGTTTAATTTAGTTTTGTCGTTTGTCCGAGATAGCCCCCCCAGACCGGCCTGTGTGCAAGAGGTATCCACCGCAGGAACGCCAGGAACGAGAGAGCTTATATTGCTGCTGTGCTAGGTTGGTGCGTCTAAGTTGGGACAAGGAGCTGGACTTAATCATTTAATCCTTTCCGAGGGTAAGTAGCTGTTGATAACTGTCTTTGGGTGATAAGGATTAGAGCTTTATCTTGATAGATTCTCGGTTTGACAGAATATACTGTGGATGCTTCGTGTTAATTGATATTTTCCGGTAGTTTTTCGATATTTCAGCTTGATTTTTGTTTGTTTGTAAATATATAAACAATTTATTGATATAAGTTTAAACACATGCCAGACTTTCACAGATTTTCAGAAAACCTCAATATCAATTTTCTATTTGAGAATTTCTTTCCAATCTTTTTTACAAAATATGATGGCAATGCGTACATTTTAAATATATTGCTATAGATATAGATAAGTGTATATAAGTTTTCTAATTAAATAGTTAATACAGGAGGCTCTCGTTTTGCGCGGAGGTTACGTTATTTAAAACGCGTAGAATATTTTATTTTATAAAATAATACCTACAGGTTCATTGTTATATAAGTGCAAATATTTTTAGAGCTGGTAAATTTCGATCACGTCTATAAAGCTTTTTTCGCGAAAAAAATTGAAAATATTGAATTATCGAAAATTTTTTGGTATTTTTTTTTTAAATTTTAGTTAAAGTTAGAGTGTATAGTAAATAAATGCAGATGTATTAGGAAAATATTTCTACAAGTAAGTATGTCTTCATCATTATTATATAGGGTGATTCTGAAATAAGTGCAAATATTTTCAGGGCTGGTAGATCTCGATAAAAGAAATATAGGTATTTTCTTTTTGCCGTTTTTCAAATAAGTCCAAATTAACCGTTATTTTACTTCGAAATTAAAAAAAAAATATTTTTTTGGTAAAATTTTTGAGAACCACTGGATCTTTGCTGGGGTTTCTTTCTTGTAAAATTAATCTACGACTTATGTTGCCATATTATGAAGGTACTAGTTGAAGCCTGGCGCATCCGCCACGACACCAGGAAAAAAATGCTTTTTATTTTCTGTTTAATTAAATGAAAAACAAAAAATCCGGCGACGATAGTTTTTAGAAGTGCCAATTAGCTATCTTTTAGTAAAAAAAGCAACTTTCTAGAGCAAGTCGTTACTTCAGTAGAGACGACACAGATAAACATTAGCATTTTATATATGTATATTATGTTTTTTAACTAAAAATTTAAAAAAATTCCAAATTTTCAATTTTTTTTTGCAAAAAATCTCATAAACTCATACACGTGTTTCTGGGGTCGAAATATATTACCCCTAAAAATATTTGCACAAAAAATTGAAAATTTAGAATTCTTTGGATTTTTTTCTGTACATATCTTTATAACATATATAAAAAAACATATCTTTATAACGTGGCAACATAGATAGCAGATTCAATTTACAACAAAAAAAAAACAGAAAAAAATTCAGTAGTTTTCAAATTTTAGGTAAAAATCTTACTTAATTTACTTTTTGCTTTTTAGTTACTAGACTCATTTGAAAGACGGCAAGGAGAAAATATATTTCTTTTATCGAGTCCTACCAGCCCTTAAAATATGTGCACTTATTTCTGGGACACCCTGTATAATAACAAATTGAAAATAAAATAATTAATAAACAACAATGATATCTATTTTTAATTATTTATTATTAAAAATTAAAAAAGTATACAGCATAAATATAGCACAACATAAAAATACAAACACAAAACACAAAACATTTTACTTAATAGGCTTTAATCACAGCTTTAATATAGCATCTAATACACATAGATGCACGTTTTTTTCACCATGTTAGCATAATTAAACCTTTGTAGCAAGTAAACAGTTTTAAGATTTACTCTGGTCTTTGGTAACACTTGAATATTCTTTTAACTCAATCTTCTTAATTTTTTGTTAATTTATGTATATGTTTTCTTTTTATATCAACATTAATTTTGTTTAAATTTCAAAAATTCTATTAACTCTAAACGAATTTATTATTTCTTTTTAATGATATACCTAATTTCTTTTCTTGTTATTCAAGTTCCAACACAATTAATATTTTCAAGTTCACTGAAAGCTTTGTTAACGAGTCCTTTATTCTCATAATTAGGAAAAAATAAATAAAAATATGACATTATTAGATCTGTCTCTGGGAGAAGTTTTGTTTCATACTTATTTTATATTTTGTTATTCAAAGAAAAATACAATAATGTCGCATTTTTCTATATAATTAAATGAAATAAAAAATAATAATTAAAACCCTGGTAATAAATTATAGGTTGGACATATTTATTGTCGATTTAAAATTAGTTATTATGACAAAACCCCGATTTCAATATTATTTTAATGCGATCGACATGACGACGGCGTGAACTATACAGGGTTGTTCACCACATACGACATTGTAGCTACACGACTAGATTTTTACAAATTGTAAGTTTTGGGTTCGTTGAAGGACTATTAGAGCTACAATTTAAAAATATTTTTACAAGATACAGAGTGTCCCAAATAAATAAAAAATATCAAAGTTGTATTTTTTTAAATGGAACACCCTGTATATTATTACATTTTTAGTTTCTGTGATTAAAATAAAGGCAAATTTGATTAAGGTTTATTACACTTAAACCTTACCGTTTTTAAAATATTTTCAATTCTGTAAAATTGCAGTAAAAATGTTAAGGCTTCATTTCTCCGAGGGTATCAAAGTTTTCAATGCTAAATATTTACTGAAGTTTATTTACTGATCAGTTATTGTGTTACAATAATAAAAATTATACTACCTTATACAGAGTATCTAAAAATTTATTTTAAATAATTACTAGCTTTAAACGGCAATAACTTGTTTAATTTAAATTGAACACTCTGTATATTTTATGATAATCAGATGTACAATTTAATTGTCTATCAAATTGTATTATACCATTTTTACCTATCTCTTCAAGTTTCCGTAGAAAATGCATTTTCTTGCAATTTATAACTCATTTATCAATATACCCATGGAATTGACATTTTAGATTATTTTTAAAATTGTACCAAATTTTTAAAGAGTACAGACACTAATATTGTTGATATAGTTCGATTATTTCATTAAAAAATAAAAAAAGACTGTTTAATTATTTGTTAAAGAGGACCAATGAATGTGATTCCAGTATTCAAACTGCATTAATTGACTGTTTGCGTTGATTAATAATAATTGTTCCAAACACCAAAAAATGTATTTGGTATGTATATTAGACAGTGTGGTAAAAAGTAACACCTTAAAAATGATATTTCTTTTTTTGACAAATGTTTATTTATTACAACAGAGACGTTCATTTTCATAACTTATTATTATATTAATTTCTGATTCAAATCCATATTTATTAAGAATAATTTATTAACTAGCACAATTAAGTGCTTTTTTGTTTTGTGAATGCTTTGTCGATGAAGCTGTTTTGGCTTTTTGTACAATAAAGCGTTGTTTTTTTTTAGTATGTAATTAATTAGTATTTGGGCGGAAATAATGGTGGTATATTTAATTAATGGTATACTCCTTTATAAAGATTTAAATAGTTTTCTTTTTGCATATAAATGGGCTAGTAATATCATCGTTTTGCTAAAAACGAGAATATTACTAGTCTGTACATTTGTTGCTTTAAAAACAATCTAAAATGTCAATATTCCATGGGTATATTGATAAAGATTGAGGTCTAAATTATAAGAAAATGCATTTTCTACGAAAACTTGAAGGGATAGGTAAAAAGTGGTATAATACAATTCGCTAGACAATTAAATTGTGCATCTTATTCTCCTAAAATATACAGAGCATTCCATTTAAATTAACCAAGTTTTTGCCGTTTAAAGCTAGAAATTATTTAAAATAAATTTGTAGACACTCTGTATGAGGTAGTATTATTTTTATTATTGCAACACCATAACTGATCAATAAATAAACTTCAGTAAATATTTAGCATTAAAAACTTCGATACCCTCGGAGAAATGAAGCCTTAAAATTTTTACTGCAGTTTTACAAAATTGAAAATATTTCAAAAACGGTAAGGTCTTAAGTATAATAAACCTTAATCAAATTTACCTTTATTTTAATCGTAGAAACTAAAAATGTAATAATATACAGGGTGTTCCATTTAAAAAAATACAACTTTGATATTTTTTATTTATTTGGGACACTCTGTATCTTGTAAAAATATTTTTAAATTGTAGCTCTAATAGCCCTTCAACGAACCCAAAACTTACAATTTGTAAAAACCTAATCGTTTAGCTACAATACTCTGTGTCGTATGTGGTGAACAACCCTGTATATTGATAATTTCTGATTTCTGCCGTAGAGTGCGCTGCGGTGGGAATTTGTTGAAATCAACTGAAATGCACCAAGCCTATACCATCAGAAATATAAAATCTCACAACGCAGTTTTGCCACACTACAAACTTTTGTGAGATCTCATATAATACCAAGTCAGTTATATTAATGTCTATAGAAGCACTTATTCAACAACTATGTTATAAATTCTATCTAATTCTTATCTAATCAATTATCTATTAGCTCCCCATACACCAGAAGATTTGGTATGCGGATTTAGTCCGCGGAATTGGCCTGTCAAGTGCCTTTTTTGATTTTTAGGACTTAAATTCAACCATATGTATCTTCATGTTTTTGTTAATTTTCTCTAAAACTGAAATTAATTTAAACTGGAAATTTGAAAAAGTATAAACAGGATTAACTATTTTAGAACAAGCAAAAACATTTGTGAAGAATGCATTTTTCTCAAAATGTCAATAATAAAAAAGTTTTTTCTCTTGTAAAGACAATCCGGGGTCATACTGTATCAAAATAAAATTACACTAAATCACCACAATACACCAAAACACTTTTACTTTTACACTGGACGCGCGTTTTGTTAACTATGTTAGCATCATCAGCAGATGATTATAAACTGACTAGTGTTTTAAAAACTACAGTGACTAAAAGTGTTTTGGTGTATTGTGGTGATTTAGTGTAATTTTATTTTGCTGTGTAACACCAAAGGTTCCAACCCTCAACTGTAATAGTCATACTGTATATTAAGTGAAAACAAAGTTAGAGAATTTGTCATAGAA